GAAACATCGCCAGCGCTTCTGTCAGCTGCTTGGTCTGTCAAAGCAACTCGTTTTCAGCGTTTGCTTCCGGTTGCTTCGGCAGACCGGTGGTCAGGCCCCTGCTGTTTCCTGCATTCACAAGCACAGGCGGGTTTACATTCAAGTGCATGTACTGATGACATCTTTAATCAAGACTTCAGTCCGTTTGGTCATAGTAGCTGTACTGCAGCAACATGAAGCAAGTGGAGAAAGATGGAACCACATCTCCATGAGAGCAACATGGCCGCCCTGCGACAGAAAGCGAGTTGCAAATCAGCAAAAAGAGAATTCACAAGTTTTCAGGGTTTAGGTCCGAGAAAATCAGAGATCGACAGTTTTGGAAGTGTTTGACCAAAACAGCTGAAATCAAACTACATGTGGCCCAAAACAAGTGGTAAACAGTTGAGCTCTCATTGCAAACAGGACAGGACTCCAGCTTACTATGCCTCTCCTCTCAAGATTTCCTTGCGGATTGCTCGCAGGGAAGGATATGCTGTTATCAACGGCATCCGGGCGCACCGTAAGTGAACTGTGTACTCCAGTCTCTGGACGAACAAAGCATCATTCTTTACGGCACCATGATAGCCAGCAGAATCGACACTTCAGTTCATCAAAATATACCAAAATGCATGGGTGCAATCTAGAACAGGCGAAAGTCATGAGTTACATACTAGCTTTTTTTGTCATGCTTGATTTGAGCCGAAAGTCGCCTCGTAAATGTGCTAGGCATTCTGCTCAGAGTTTGGCTGAACAACGCTTCTTGTGACCTTAAGTAGGGATCACGGTGACGCTTTAACAGACAGGCCTAACCGCAAAATCAGCAGAATCTTCGGTTGCTTAAATCAACTACTTGTAGCCGATAGATCGCGAGAACACAGAGGCATCTCTGTCGCATAAAAGGATGGCTTACAGTCATGCAAACCATGCTCCGGAAAGACAATGTCAAATTTGTGACCTACAGAAAGTTGATGATGACAAATTTCGTAACTCCTTACAAAAGAGCTCTCAATGCACAATTTGGCTGCATTCTCATTACGCTCGGGTTGAGCACTCCAGAGAGGCTCGGCGGTGCGATCACTCGGGTTGGGCACTCAAATAATGCGGCCGGGTGCTCCAGGAAGAGTCGTCTCGACATCTCACAACTCCACATTGAGGGCGAGGCGGGGGAACAGCCACACATGATCGAGTGTGAGCCGCAGACAAGCTCAGAAGAAAGCTAGTTGTAGGCCGTGGATGAGCGAGGGTAAGCAGTATATGTCCACTGAATTCAGACGAAAGAACAGTGCAGACTATCGTCTCAGATGATACCGCAGAATATATCGCTGAGGTTCCGAGGAAAGCTCCATAGGCAAAAAGCGTCCCCTCACGCGGAAGAAATCACGCAGAACATGTCGCTGGATTTGGATTAACTCTTCGAGGTCGTAGTGAGAAACCATGAGACGCGCAAGCGAGCAAGTTCCCGCAGAAATTTTGAATTGGCTCAGTGAAGACAACTGCACAAATTTGCTTGTGCATGACCAAAATAGGCGGAGCGCATACGCAATATGGATTCTTGTCGATCAGACGTGTTCCAAAATGAGAGGCTTTAAGCCGAAGCGTAAGGATTGAAAGTGCCGGCTAGGGCAGTTTTTTTTTGCTCTGGAAGAGCACACGCATTGCAGCATGCTTTGGTCCGGGACTTAACTTGTGCCTCGGTATCTGCTGAGCCGAAAGTTGCTTAGTTTGAAGGCTTCTGACCAGGCGAGCTTGGTTTGACATCTTGAGGAAACACAGGGTTTTCTTAGGCGATGCAAGGATGCGGGCCCTAACCCCACCAACAAACAGCAGAAACATCCAGACAAAGGAGCAACATCAAAAGATAGCCACTTGAAACTCTCCTCATCCACTGCTCACCTTCTTGCGGATAACTGGTGAAAGTAAGGCAAAGAACTGTTCACAAGCGTCAGCAGAGTTTACCTACATGAGGTTTTAAACCATGAAGCCTGCAATCAATTGATATCAATTGGGGTGTGCGAAGCCCAGCAGATCGAAGACCAGAAGGGATGCAAGCCTTGTCCGCCAGATGCAAGCTGCAAAGTGGCTTGCAGCAAACCGGTTGCAATCTCCCGTGAGAGAGAGAACACAAAAAACCAACAATCTGAGTGATTTTTCATGAAGGCGGGCATCGGCTGTGGTGATGAATAGTTGACTGGTGTGAAAATCGTCATCATGAGTCAGAGTGAACAAGCAGTACGAAGTACAAGCGGTAACCGTGATGGGAGGTGTCGATTTCATCCGTGCCCGATACGCTTGGACAGCACGCAAACTTATGCTTCACAGACAAGGATCAAGTCTTTTGGATTCCGTCCTTGAGAATGGTATTGAACACGTTGAACATGTTGATAACCCACGCGAGGAAAGACACGTGAAATGCCACTCTGCGGGAACTGTTGCAAGAGTATCCTGCAGTTCTCCAAACTGCTGATATGTTGAGTTGCGGCATGTGTCAAAGCACGGCCTTTTCCAGTGTGTCAGATCTTGACATCTTGTCCAGGTCGGTATCTATTCAGCACTTGTGCCGAAGCTTGATGGTCTTTGCTGGGTGGTGCTCCGACCGTCGAGCGGCAAAGCTGAAAGGCTGGTCGTAGCGAAGCCTGTGTGGTCTCGGGATCACATCAAACTCGGTTGTATTGTTAGTAAGTATGAGTAAGCACGGTTACGGCCTGCCTTGCTCAGCTTGACTCAAAGGCCAAAATACTTCGATTGTCCTAGCTTCCTCTGGAATCAGAGGGCTTGCGCAGTGCACTGGTGCTAGGCGATTCTTCAGGATCAAAAGTATCCTTGTTGCTTTGTCGAAGCAACAGGACAAGCCAGACGAGTCCTCAGCAAGAAGTGGCTTTGAAGAGAAAGCTTCAAATCTTGCGCAAATACAAGATGAAAGATGCTGACATAGCGGAAGTTCTTGATGCCCCTTGTCTGGAGATGCTGAAGCAACAGGTGGCGGCTCAGTTTGACTGGAATTTGTCAAAGTATTCCGCTCTTCCTTCTCTTTTTGTGCATGCTTGGCAAAGAAGCATAAACAGATTGCCTCCACAAACCGTGAACAGTTAATAGACTTGGAATGACGAACTCTTGCACCTGTTATCGCACGTTGGCGCTGAAGACACCATTGAGGTATCCGCACGAATTTCTTCCAATTCCCAGCGAAGCAATTAGTGTCATCCATGCTCTGGTGTGTTTGAAGAGCCTGAACAGCCAGAGGCCCAGAAGTCGTAAAGCGAACAAGCATGCAAAAGGTGCAAAAGCCCAGGAGTTCTGGAATATGTACTCGCTCTGCATTCGCAAAGGACATGTGCTAAATATTCTCTGTGATTTTGAACCACAGTTAATGTCTCTGGTTTCCACCAGTGGCTTCCGCCTACCGACTGAGGATGAATATGGCAAAGTGGAATGGCTCCAAAGCTTCGACTTCCTGTTTGAGAGGGATGGCTCCAAAACAACAGCTGTGACACTCGAGCTTTGGCAGAAGGTCACTGGTTCCCAAATTCACGCACTACGAGATAAAGAGATCTTGACTTGCCCCAGGCTCCAGGCAAGCCGGAAGTAAGAATGGGAACCCATGATGTTCTTCTCGGTCAAGGCCACAGTACTTCAGATTTGCAGACGACGAAGGAACGCAGCCATGACAGGACACGGCCATCGCCAATCTGCGGCTTTGGAAGGAGGGGCAAAGCTAGAATACCGAACGTACCTTGGAGCTGGAATAATCGCGCGGTGAGCTGTGATCATCATTTGCGGAGTCAGTTGAGTCTTGGGAGGCAAGATCCCAGATCTCACGGAGCATTTATGGGTGCAGTATGGTTTAGTTTGCTGTCTTTGCATCTCCTGCTTCCATGGGATGCTCAGGCAGGCCTACTATTCGAAGTCTTCACGGGGGAAGGCAGCACCAAACAGCACCGGATTTGCGCTTTTCAGCATATGCACGTGAATCATTTTAGCTTGCGATTTGTTTTCTGTAGCTGAGGTATGGTGCCGGAAGCAGTGGAGTCAGCTTCAGAAACCGGAATCTCGCTCGCTGCGACCGCCTTCGCTTCCGCAATGGATGGCGGCATTGCAGTCACTGGTGCTGTTACTACTGTGATGAATGAAGGGCTGGCTGCCATGGAAGGCCAGGGTGAGGAGGACAGTCCGGATTCATGCTGTTTTCAAAGAAGAGGCACCTCCACTGCAAGGTGCCTACAACGGTCTTTCTGCTGCCGCTGGAGCAGGGATCGAGGCCAGGCACCTGAAGTTTCCGCGCTTTACTGTACCGCACCGGTTGTCAATGAGGGTTGAAGGTGCAGATTTGTATAGATTTGTGGCTCGCAAGACCTCCCTCGCCCTGACTGCATCTGTTGGTCTAAGCCAGCAGCGGAAGAGCGGTGATAGGTACCGAGCAAATGGGTCATTCGTTGCACACTGTAAACCTTGGGGAGGCAAGGGAAAGGCATGTCACAATTTTCTGCACAAGACGAGGTCTGCCCGGTCTGACATAGTTCGGACGAAACATGTGCCAGCTGTATGCACATTGATAGAAGGGCAGTTTGCCTAAGGAACATGCTGCGTAATTGAGCCTGCAACACCTGCACAGGGCATCTCCTCGACATGGACATATGCGATCTCACAGGCAGATTCCCCAAGTCAAGATCCTCCACGATCTGAAGCAGCAGGTGCTGCTCTTTGCTGCATGGGTGCCATGGCAAGTAGATGTTGTCCTGTCGAGGCACACTTCCCCCCACCAATCGGAAAATGACCACAACACGGGCAATCAGCTGAGTGCAAAGCTGTATGTGGCTGAGCATGGCTTGCACAAATCCAAAATGTTGTCCCTAAGGTCTTGGACAGGGAATAGCCCGTCGAATTTGCAAGCGCAGCAAAAGATGCTTCCATGAATGATGAAGTGGCGCTTTCAGCCTTCCATGTGATGACGGGCAGGGTGTTGAGGAATGGTTGATGTTCTCGAGGCAGTGCTCATCTGCGGCGTCAACCTAAGCTTGAGCCCATTGACTTATGTCAGCGGGTGCGGTGCAGGCACACTGCGTTTCTGTTTCATGCTGCAGCCCGTTATCATGTGGATGGCAGGAATGCACTCCCACCTGGGGCGGTGTTTCACATACAACTTCTCAGCGGATGGCTACACCCGGGGGGAGGCCAGAAGGATCTCTCCGCCCCAAGCTGAGTGTGTCGTGCACATCCTTGCGAGGCAACGGCATCGACTGCCCTCAAGCTGAAGCCGTTTGAAAGGCAAGCGGACCTGCTTCACTGGCCTTCAAAGCCTTTACGAAGACGATTGCGTCAAATGCAATGTGCCGAAGGGAGCAGGGCGAGTACTGCGTCTTGGCAGGAAGTCAGGTCAATCAGGTGGGCCGTTTGTGCTTGTTACTGTGTAGGCTGCTGTGTAGTACGCTGTGTAGGGTGGGAAAAGCAACCCATCAATAAGCCACTTGAATGCCTTGATGGTCGTGGTTGGGCTCCCTTTCAGCCTAAAGGGCATTTCAGGTATCGCATGTTTCAGTGCTTTCATTGTAAATGTGGCCAGCAGGACGGGCGGAGTGCATCACTGACTGCTCCTAACGGACCAGCGCAGGAAAGATGCGCCCAGGCTCCCAGTTGATTGCACAAAGATTGTCGGTTGTCGTGGTTGCAGAAGAGGCTGCGAAGAGTATGTTGGATGTAATCCTACCTTTATTGTCTGGGCAGGCTGTCATGAAGGAGATTGGCGTGAAGCCACCAGAGATAGATACCACGGAATGTGCGACACAAAGGTTTTTCGCTAGACTTGAGATCACTTTACGTCAGCTGCACACGCTGCAAGCAGTTGATTCAGTTTGAGCCATTTCAGTTCATCTGGGATGCATGTGAAGTGAGCCAAGGCCACGGTACCGGCACATCTCTGGGAGATCCTATTGAAATCGGCGCCTACAGGAAGGCAGCGAGCGACTGTTGGATTTGTACATGGGGGGCGCGCGGGCGCTTCTGATGTGCCGGAAGCTTTTGCTTGTCAGACTTGTTAGAGGTCATGGCTTCAGTGCCAAGGCTGGTGCGTGTTTGGCATATCCTGCCACTGGTAGTTGTGTCAGCATGCAAGGCACGAACCTGTGGTGATCACTTCGTCCAAAAGCAACATTGGCCACTGTGAAGGCTCACTTGGAATTGGTGATGGAGAGACAGGTACTTTAAAATCTGAAGCTACTTTAAGGCAGTGCTGGAATCTCTGGATTCTTGAAGTGCGTATTGCTGAGCCTGCGGGAGGCTTAGCCATGGCTGTTCGGTAACGGAGTCGCGCTGTGCTTTTACGACATAGCCACCGTCAAAGGTATGGTGAGGCAACACCGAATTGCCACCTGAACTGTCTCAATCCGCTGTGCCCTCAACGTGCAGTTGACAAGTGCTGAATATGTATCTGAATGCAGCACCCAAGGCACTTGGACATGAGTGGGTTCCCGGGGATCATTACAACTGAGAACTTGACATTTCGCGCGGAGGCAAAGCATGTTTTCATTGCTTGGTATCGCGCTTGGGGCAGTTTTCCAGGCCTCTTACAACGGCGTCTTGTCGTTTGGTTTCGGTGGCACCAACGCTTGCGCTACTGCACGGACCTTGGTCTGGAAGTCCTTAACAGATTTGTGTCGTTCTTGCACTACTCCATTCCCAGCCTGTTGGTGGCGGTGGTGCCGCCGCTGCTGTCCTTTTGTTCCCAATGCTGGTGTGAGTGCCGACAGGCGTGGGGATTGCACCGACCCACACATTCTCTACTGCCTAAACTTGCAACATTTCGAGCTGTTGTTCATCTCCAATGTGCCGCTTAAACTGCTGGGTTTTCAAAACCTTGCCAAAACAGGGCTCGCGATAATCAATGCCCTATAGACTTATAGATGAAGACGACTACTATATATCCACTGTATTCACTGCATACTTGCGGAGGACATTAGCCACAATGAAAAAGGCATGTGGTAGGCGGCGTCCCAAACAGGACGGGTTTTCAAGGTAAAAGCCGCCATCTGGTGGTTGGCAGCAAGGCATTGCCGTGGTCCGAAACGCACGAAGCGTTTTTCGAGACAGTTGAAGACATTCGCGGAAGGGGGAGAGGCAGCGAATGTTCTTAACGCCAGAGGCCAAATTCAGCCGCAGGTTGGCGACCACAACCGTTTCACTCTTGAAGATTTGCAAGTTGCTATCCAGAAACTCAAACATGATGATCCCCAGGACCCGATACAGTCGTCAATGAGCTTTTCCTACTTCTTTCCTACTTTTTGGTGACCACAATGCCAACACACTTGTGGAGTTCCACAACAGAATCAGGATCGTCCGAAAACTATGTTCAGAAACTTTAAGCACGGGGGTACATGATGCAACAAGTGCGGGCGAAAGCTCGCGAAAGGGCGGCGAAGGGGTGGCGAAAGGTTCGCGAAAGGTTCAACAAGTAGTCCTAACAACGTCCCTTGTAGCGTGACATAGCTTGACCAACAGCGTGACATAGCTTTACCATTGCGCAGGGCTTGTAAACAGGATTTGGATAAGGTTTGTTGCAAATCTTAAGAAAGTGCTGCGGGCGAAGCCCGTGAAAGGGACGGCGAAAGGGCTGGGAGAAGGAAAATTGGACAAGCCCCAGCTCTCATCAGCGCATTTATGTGGTCGAGCAGCATTTTCTAGTGTTTTGCTTGTCACTTACCCTTTTCAAATGACCATAGGCTATCTAAGCGCATGGTCAAGCTGTGCCGTTTTTGGTTCCATCCTATCCATGTAGCACCAGCCCCATGCTGCAGGAGCGGACTCTCCTCATTTCCCCTTGCTACCAGACCCATCCGTGTATACTGTCACTTTGAGGCCTACATCACTCCTAATGGTGTTTCGGTCGGTTTGCGGGGGCCTCCCATAACTCTCTTCTGAAAACCTGATGTTGAGGCTTGGGGCTTTTTGGATTCTGGAGGCTTTGGCCGCTAGATGACCTGTACATCAGTCACCAGAAGGTAGGGGTCACTGGGAAGGCCTGTGTAAAGCTTGGATCTACACTCCTGACAGAATGTAACCATTGCTTTCCAGTAAAGTGTGGTCCAATCTCTGAAAGAGGGTAGGATCAGCGTGTGACAGAGTCTTACGGGGGCAACAAGGAATCCGTGTCTAGATATGATCTGACTTTGGCTGCTACCAGCAGTGTTGATTCACCTAGATTGAAACGGAAGGTGCCAATCCTCAGGTGGGACAGCCTTGTCTCCATCAGGGATTGTGTGCATGAAGTTAGGGGTCTTATAAGAGGCAACATCCAACATCTCCATTCTCTGCTTGTTTAAGGCTCAGGGTTTGCAGGCTCCAACGCTTTGGGGTCATTCAGGGTTTGGATTTTGGCGCTCTGGAGGGTTTCGGTTTGGGGCGTGCTTGTGGTTGAGGGCTTGGGGTCGTTTAGGGCTTTGCTGGTTTGAGTGTGGCTTAGGGTCTGAGTGATTTAGGCGGTTTACGGTTTGAGATTGTTGAGATAGCGTTCGGATCTCCCAGCAAATCCGTCCCCGCACATCCATACTCTAAAAATGGTATTGCGCACATGTTTCAGGTTGCAGGTATAAGGGATGCTATATACAAATTGTAATTTTCCTTTGCTAGGCTTACATGGGAACCTCTTACATGTTACATAACGGCCCTTGCACCGTATTTGCCTGTTATTGTGAACCTGATGCAAATTTCACAAGGAAATATGATTATTCATAGCGGGCCTTGCAGCGAGCGGACCCTGACCCTCATGCATGCAACAAAAACGACATATTCTGAAACTACGACAACAAGACTTCAACAACTCCAGAAGGGGTCCACATTTTAGCCTTGCCTTGCTCAAGATCCCCCAGCATTTGCCGCACTTGAGATCATATTCTTACCATGTTGTCCACATGTCAAGGTATGGGGCATCAATCAAATGACGTCGAGAGGAGTTGGCACGAACAAGGCTGGGAAGTTAAAACACATATTGTCTGGTCAGATTGCGAGCTCGTGCTGCATGCGCAGAGCCGTTAGACGGCGGTTCTGTGCCATAGGGGTATTCATGCGCCCGAAAGCTGCAAAAACTATCCAATTATCATGAAACAGGTTCCTTTTGCTGTTTCTCTGTTGCGTGTGACACCCCGCGTTGTCCGATTGATTTAGCTCTAAAGCAGGTTTCGTTGCTGCAAAATGTTTTTAAGGCGCGGCTGCTGCTGGCCGGAAATAATCCAGAATCCAGGTCCTGGTAGTAAGCATCAACATTTAGATCAAGCAGCCGTTTTCGGCCTCTTTTTCACCCACCATTGGCCAGAATGCACGCCAGAGCAAAGACTTGAATCTTTGGTTACATCAGAGATCCCAACAGTATCCTAACGGCCTTTTCCCGGGGGTTGATCTCATTTCATTGGTTCGTTTGGAAGTTTAATGCCTGATGTAGTTCTTGCTTCCCTGCGTGCCATGACAGGACCTTTACAGTCTCTTCATCAGGAAGATGCAGGATGCTCCTCCTCAAGAGGTCACCGTTGTCGGAGATGACTGGGAGGCACCGTAGAAGACCGGCCTTCTCTCCTGAGTTCTTCCAGCAGAGATGCACCAACCGCAGGACTGGGAGATGGGTGGACCTGACAAGGACGCCAGGTTCAATGACATTTTTGAGGCAATCTGTTTAGAATAGCGTTGAGTCCAAGTCTGATGTGTGCATTGTTTGCAGGTTGAGCTCGATCCTGATGGCGTTGTGAGCTACTGGAAAAAGGACAAAGAGGCCAGCTGAATCAGGCGTGTAAGCGGTAAAGCAGCCAAGCATATTTCGGCATATCAGGTGCCTGACATGGGTGGCTGCCTGAGCACAAGCCGCATGGAGCTGCCCTGTTTGCATGTGCCTTCAGACGTGTGTGAGGTTGTCCTTATTTCTTGACCGGCACTTTCAATGATTGGAAATATGATGAAATGGAGGTGGCTGTCTCGGTTTGCTAGGGCTTCAGAGAAGCTTGGCCAGTGGGCGGGGATGGCACTGAGGCAGATGCTAGTGTACCTGGACTCTTCTATGCAACAATCCGCATCACCGCCAATGTGGAAGAAGAGCTTGGCACCAAGTCATGAGAGATATGACAGATGCTTTTGTGAATTTGAGACCAGCTTGTCTCTGATTTTTGCTATGCAGGTTTCAGATAGTAGCAGACAAAGAGCCCAAGATGACTTTCCATCCATCGAGCAGGAGAGCTCACACCCAGGGAAACGACTCAGCAAGTGCAAAGTCTCGGTCAGTTTGACTCGGCATACCGCACAGGCTGTTTTTTCTGCTTTCGAGATTCAAAGTGGATGGAGCCTAGAGACAGCGGCAGGACATCGATGAAATCCTCCGCTGTGCGCGGGCCAGAAGAGACAAAGAGGGAAAACTGCTGGTGCATCAGAGGCATCAAGGGCGAGAGGCTTCCCGTCGGCACTTCATCCTGATGTCGTGGGAGAGATTGATCATGCTGCGCGGTGCATGCCTTTTGGCAAGTGTGCAGCTTGTCACGTCATGATTGGGCCTTTATGAGGTATCGCGTTGAGTTCTACAGATCTGACACCGGCGCAGCAACGGTGTCCTGGCTGAGAGAGGCGTAGCTCGGTATTGTTTTAGTCGTCTTCCCCGAAGTATGCTGACTTGACGTTACAACCTGAAAAGACACTATATCAATGTAAGGTGTTTCGTTGTCTTGTGCAAAAGTGACTTATTTCTGCCTGATGGAAAAGTCCCGCTTGTGAACCCGCAGTGCGCACATCATGTGTTTCAGAAGGTTGGTTGAATGAGTGCAGTTTAGTTGCTGCTTGAATGAGTTGAGGCTCTAAAGTCTAAAGTTAAGAAGAGTCAGGAGAGTTGAGTGGTGTTCTGCAATGACAGTCCCGAGAAGGTATGCGCAGTAAACCCTTTCGACGCACTTTGTCTATGTTGCCTATCAATGCAGCCGTGAATTATCTCAAGCTGCTGAGCTTTGTAGCCAGATTCTTGTCCGAATCTCCTCTTTTTGGTCATCGCGTGCGGTCATTTTGCGAATTGAGGCCAGCGGGCTTCTCACAGTCTGCAAGGTCGTGAGAGCAGCTGAACACTGAACAGGCGGCGATGGCACAACAGCTTCCTGTGCGGAATACATTCATTGAGGCCAGCCTCTAGAACTCCAGGATGATGCAAAATTCGAATTTTGCAGAAACATCTTGAAACTGCAAAGGTGAGGGCACCAGCTGTCATTCGCCCCCGATCACAGACAGATTTTGTACCTGGCCTACCTGGTCAGAGTCTCAATTTTAACCCACAGAGCTTTCCTTGTCGTATGGAGTCTCAGTGGCTTGTGCAGGTCCTGTTGAGGCTGCAACGAACGGTGCAGCCAGCTTCACGCTTCGTTGTAATGCTATAGTAACTATCAGGGTGTGATTGCTGGATTGCTTAGCACAAGCTTGGCAGGTGCTCCAACACTTGGCCCGGCATTGGCGCCGGCATTGGCTCCAGCATTGGCTCCCGCTTCTACAATCGCTCCCGCACCCACCGCGTGTGTGGTGTCTAGCATCGAGACCGTTGCAAGCAGGCAGGGTCAGTAGTCGACTGTGCATCATGTTGCTTTGATGCTTCATGTGAAGGCGATGTTCCGTGATTCGAACGCCAGATGTGCCCTGGCAGTCAATGCCAAATGCTAGGGCTTGGCTTCTTCTGAGATTCTGCGCCTCCGAACGATACTGGGCCAGGTGCTATATCAGCGCACTCCTCTTGGATCCTTTGCCTGCGAGCCTCCACACGGGTTCGCCTTACCACAGGTTGCTAGCATACGTTTGTCTGGAAGCTACCCCTACTCGCAGCGAGCCGCTCTGGAATCAGGCTCTGGATGAGCTGCAAAGGCGAAGGCCACCAAAAGCTTGCGAAGCTTGCGCAGCGGCGCATCTTAGTTTGCCAGCCTAAGCGGATCTGAATGTTGTGGTAATCGTACGCAGGACCAGTACGCTTAGCTCAGAGGCAGCCCGAGTGCAAACTAGCGTCCTGCTCAGGCACTTCAAAGATTGCTTTTGCTGGGGAGCAGCATTCAAATTGTCGCAAGGTCATTCTACCGCAACTCGCAGAAGCTCATTGGATATGATTCCCAGCACGCCGCAATCTCACCAGCCTGCTGGTCAATGGTGGCGTGAGAGAGATGCGATGTATGCTGCCTGAGGCCGGACATGTACTACAGTTGGCCTGTGGATATGAACCCTGGTGCTGCTTTCTCAGTTATGTGCAAGCGGTACCACTGGGATGGAGGGTGTCTCTGTGATGTTTGTGAACCATTTCAGGCCTTCATGCTGCCCAGTGCTGCTCCCCCAGCGCCTGGACAGGCAGTGGCTGAAAATGCACGGCCTCTACCTTGTTGAACCATCCATATGAAGTCCAATGAAGTCTGTGGAGGTGGCGGCTGCCCCAGTACCTCTCTCGACTTCACAGTGTCCAAAGACAGTCACACACGCGACCCGAGCCGCCCCTGCTGCTCCAGCTGCACCAGCTGCACCAGCCACGCAGCCATTGCTGAAGGGACCTGTCCCAGCTCCACATGTTCCCGTTGGGAACCCGTCGGTGCCAGTTTGGGATGGCGCCTACGCAGCAACTGCAGCACCAACTATGCCTTTGCAAGTGGTGCAAGACCATAAACCTCAGCTACACAGCATGCCGTTATGGCCACCGCCTCCTGCCAATGTGCTGCCAAACAGATACCCCTTGCAACAGCAAGTGCTCGTTCTCTCCAATTTTCTACAGGAGGCAAGACCACAGCATCTAGGGCTTTGCGAACTGCATTAGTCATGCCTGAGGCGCCTCCAAAAATGGATGAGTTGCATTTATCTCAGGCTTTCTCTCTACGAGTAGATGATGACAAGTTCAACATGCAAAGGTCCACGCAGACGGAGTCGCCATCTTATGAGTCCTCATTGCAGCCAGCCGCCACTGGCGTGACGACGTGGTCCCATCTAGTATTTGCCAAACAAATGTAACTAATAAGTGAAAAGTGCTTGTCAAGCCAGGCTAATGCTTCGAAACATCCCCGTCGCCCACTCAACTGTGGGCTTTGGCACGGATGTGTCTTGGGAAGCGGCGGCATCCGACAGGTCACCTTCAATCGAGAAGCGCTCTTGGCGGATTTCGACGTGGGCGACCTAGCATGCTAGAAGCAGACAAGAGCTTGCCAGGTTGAGTCCACATTTAAGCTGGTTTCTGAGAAGCATGCGCACACACTCCCGATACCGGCCTCTCAGGTGAATGAGGTCTGCACATTTGAACAGGTAGTGGTTTGCACTCTACGCGGGGCAGAGCAATCACGTTCCAACGCATTTCCTCAGGCCTCAGGAAGTTGTTTGGTTGCAATGGGTATGGTTATGATGATGTTTGTTATAGACAAAGGACTTTGCTATGGTCTGATTTGGGATGTTTGTGGTGGCATTCTGGATTGATTGCTCCCAAGCAATTCATCTTCAGTTGAGAAGGCTCGCGGCTTTCGCAGTGCGGAGCTCAGCCGCCAGTGCACAGATTGCTGCTTGCATCTGGAAATCGGAAGGCAAGTACGATTTCTTCTACTTGCCGATTGACTTCCAGACAGGGAACAATCTGGGGTGCCCGACTTTCTGCTGCAATCCACAACCAGAGCACCTAGCCGTCTTGGGCGGCTAGCACTCGGACTCCAAACCAAACACAAGGATTTGCCCCTTTCAAGCACAAAACCTCAACGGCTACTTGTTATAATCTTCTTACAAGAGCCATTGCTGTTTTCAATGTATTTGCCACAATCTACGCATTCCTCGCGACGAGTCAGTCTGCATCACATGCGGTCGTCTACTACTTGTAATTCAGCAACAAGATAGCTCAATGTATCAATGTACTACTGTCTAGAGCCGCTACGACCAGAAAATCCCCCTCACCCACACCCCGGAGGCAACCTGGGCACTCCATGAAGTTACTGTGGTCAGCAATGCTTGTGCCGTTCAGCTTTTTCTGACACCCAGGTCACTGACAATTCAGTGATAAATCATATGTCTGTGTGAAGAATTTACTTGGGGTCGAGGTCGGGGTGCAACAACATGGCATGGGCAGCTTGCTTGGAAAAGGGCTGGAGATTGCGCTTGAGAAAAGCCACTTCACCACCGGGGCTGGGGAGATTTTTTTTGGCTTGGATCCGGTCCGTCCAACGCGTGCAGTGAAAATCACATTTTGTGCTTGCCGGCCTGGAGGCAGGTGGACGAGGAAACACCAAGTGTGGCATGCATCTCCGAACATGTCTTCACTCGTTTGATGTAAGATTACAGCAAATCAACAGCGCTTGAAGCGTCTGGAGTCTGGCTTCCGTTTTTCACCGCCAGACACGTGCGAACGGTCGCTTTAATGCGCAGCAATTCCAGGGAGGGCAGAGTCACAGTACCCCGCTGTTCGCCTACAGCGGCAAGGCCTAAAACTGGAGCGTCTATCTGTAGCCCATGTGCAAGTCCTGATCACCTGCCAAGGTCTCTAGCACAAGTGCCCCTTCGCAGGCCATCTCTCCTGTCATACTCATAGAATTACTCAATTGTACGCAACTGTTCCCAAGCTTGATTATCGACGCTACATGATTCCGTTGTCAAATGTTTGCAACGTTGTTCAGCCCCAAACCTCCGTGGCACACATTGGAGAAAGCTGACCTCAGCCGCTATGGTTGCTGTGTGAGGAGCGCTTGTCTAATCTAAGAGGATCGCATTTGCAGACTCGCCAGGCGGTGGAGGTGCGACCACAGCTCGTCACCATGTGGACATCAGTCCAAAATGCCATCCAGAGAATTCTTGACTGGCTTGGCTGGTGCAATCCCATGGCAGAGCTCCCGTGCTGTCTACCATTGCGCGTTGGGCCTTCCCAAAATTGGCACAACGCTGCCACGCCGCATAGCCATTTTCGAAGCCCAGTTGCGGACTGGGGCGGACAAATCAATCCGCAATCCTGCTGCTTGCGGTGCCCTCCATGACTCCAACAAAGATGCCGTCAGGCCTGTGTTCAACTGAGCCTACATGCCGTACATACCCGGAGCAAAAACTGGGAGAGTCTCCTCCGATGCATTGCGATCGCTTCATTGTAGAATTTCAAGCGCCGAGGTATTGGAGTCGCAGCGAGAGCATCAGTCCCTGCTTTTGCCCAATGCCACCTCACCCGGAAGTTCGCTCAACTATTGATTTTTCGCATCTCACCACAGGCAGCTCAGAAACTCTTCGATCATTCGGTCAGTTGATTCCATTGACACTCCAGTGCAATGACGGCAGGTCACAGTCGTCGAACGAACCAATGCATGAAGCAGCGGTACGGGCAAAACATGCGCGTCAACAATTCATTTTGGTGTGCCTGAAGGGCTTGTCTGTGCATCGCTTTTGATTCCTGCAGGAGTTGGGATATCATTTGTGCTATGCATTTGCGACGGAGCAAAAGTTGTGTGGCTGAGGCGAACATTGACATGCCAGTTGCTGACGGACGGCGCGACCAAGTTGTCGCATGTTGTGGCATGTTGTTGCGAATGGCCACTTGCCCGCAATGCCGGGGAGCCTTCATCGCTTGCCGTCCTATCGTGATGGGCCTTTGAGTATGCTTCCCGTCCCGGCACAATGGATGTTGCGGAAAGACAGTTGCGCCCCCGGCACAAGGGATGTTGCGGAAAGACAGTTGCGCCGATGCCGTCTCGTCAATGCCCCGCCTATGGCCCAGTTAGTCAATCAGCTGGGTGATGCTGGGTGGCACATGCGTGTGGCCTACATATTTGCTGAATGGCTAACGCTTCCATCGGTTTTCTTGTTTTAGGTTGCAAATCCTACCTATAGTTTTTGGTGAGTGGCTGCTTGAACCCTCAGGTCGCTGCTCATATTACCCACAACTACCGTCAAAAAAGACCGTGCTTCACTAGGATTTGCCGTAGGTGCCTGCGCCTGCACGCGTGCACCTGTGTTTTCCACCTGCTGCCAAGCACCTCGAAGCCCTCAAAATCCCCAAGTTTGCCCGCAAGGATGCGCAAGTGTCTCGCATACCGACCATGACGCTTGCCAAAGAAAGGGTAGATTCCTGCGGGCATTTCAAAATTTCCAACATGTCACGGAAAACAGCACTTGCGCGCATTCTGATAAGCCGCACCAATTTCAAGGCGCATGTGAGAGGAACTCGGCAGACGATGCAAAGAGCGTTCCGCTTCTTGATAATAACAGATCTTTTGGGGGTGGTGTGACTTTGGGCGCCACCTATTTGAAACGGGTCGTGCCCGCTCGAGCAACAATCTAGATTCAAGCTCTTTAAGGAGGGGGTGTGGGGAGGGGTTAGGGGGCGTCGCTGCAGATGACCGCCGTAGGTTTGACATTGTGATTTATGGGCAACGCCGCTGGGGGGGGCCATCTGTTGCTCAAATACCTTTCAAAGCCATGCCGTGCGAGGATGATTTCGTGCGCGAAAACCAGCCGCGGACTACGCCCTCAGCCGATTCAACGCCATCAGGAAGGACGCGCTGCACCAATTCCTTAATACGGCGCACAAGAACAATCAGTGATCCTCGCCGCAGTCCACTTAAGCCGATAGTTCTGGCCTTTCCACTCTGCGCCGAACTTTGACCAAGGGATTGTCGAGACAAGTTAGCTGCGTGCTCCTCTGAATCTGCATTAAGCAGCAAAGCTCACAGCAAAGAAATGCTCTTAGCAAAACATTTTCTGTGCTTTCCTGGGTCTTGCGGTGCTCCGTCTGAAAAACTTTGTGGAAAATCCAGACACTGTCCAAGGTTGAGAGCACCAGCCTCTCAAAAAACCTGTTATGAAATCCAAAAGTTGTCCAGGGTTGGGAGGACCAGCCTGCCAGTCGACCGAAACACAAAATGACACTAATGCACGCCAATAGGCGACAAATCCGAGCTGCCGTCACACCCGAAGAGCTTGAGAAAAATCGCGGCAAGATTTGAGCGGCTCGAAAAAACCAACCCATACAGCGGCATAACGCGCTCTACTGGCATTGTCTTGCTCTTTTCATGATGTTTCACCTTTGACATAAAGTTGCACAAGAAGGCACCGCGCGTAATTGACCGTTCTTGGAAACGGCGAATGTGCAGGAGAAGAAAGAGGTCGTTGTCGGCCGCACCATACCACGTGGTAGCACCGAAAAAACACACAGATCTTTAGCCAATTTGAGCTTCGTTGGGATGTGGCAAATGTGCATCAGACATGATGTGGGGAATGAGCGGGACCGCCTCTTGCTTCATCAGGCGGTTCAACACTCGCAAACGGTTGGCCTGGTTCCGACACTGGTGGGGCAGGCAAAGCAACAACTTGTTTACTTTTTGTGCGTTCCTTGGCTCGCTTGCCTGCTGGCGCTGTACGCAAACCAAATAGGGACCCCCTCGTAACAGGCGGTTGGGGGGGTATGTCACTATGGGCGCCGTCTATTCCCACGCCTATTCTACCAGTGGGGTGGGGGTAGGGAAAATGGGCGGGAATCTTCAGTTTCAAGGCCAGATTGTTGTGCCAACTCCTTCATGGCAACGCAGATCGCCTCTCCGATGCGCC